CATTATTTAATGACATGTTGTTGCAACACTCGAATCATAGTATTCATGGCACTGTTTTTTATTAAAGGAAACGATGATCCAAGAAGACCAACAACATCAGTCATATTATATAGGTGTTCTAATATAAGTGGTTGTGAGTGAAATGTACAGAGGATCTGTTTGGACAGTTTTTCAGATAATTAAGGTGTGGTTTCGTGAATGGTTGCTCTAAAGTTGATGATGCAATTCGGCCAATAACATTATTCGTGGATGGAGAAAACCTTGCCTCAAAACTACGTCTAACATCAATCACCCCCCCTTAATAATAATAATAATAATTATAAATATTTTGTACTTTTGGCAAAGTTGTATAAAAAATGGTCCTTGAGAGCATAAACACACCCTTTAATCAATACCCACGCATGAATTGTATAAGATAAGCAATTAACTTGCATTTGTAGGAAGTGTAAACCAATAATCAGGAACTCAATTCTATCAAGACGGAGAAAAGATTATTTAAAGTAATTTTTATTGACTATTTGAAAAAAAAAAGGTTAATAATAAAACATACGGGTCATTTGACACATTTAATATGACACATTTAATATGAGTAAAATAATCATAAAAGAGTGATTTTTTAGTTTTATGAAAAGTAACAGTATTATACACTTTTACATTTATTTATGTAAACTATAAAAATAGAATGGTTATAAAAATATAAATTTTTATATTTTTTCAAAACAGAGTAAAAGGTAGATAAAGATAATATCTGTAAAAAAATTTAGGTGTGTTAAATAATATTTTTCAATGTTAAATTATCATTTTAGAAGAGGATTTAAAAAAAAGAAAGAAAAAGACAGAAGAATATTTGAGGGGAGAAAGGAATTAAAAAAGAGTAGTTTTGTTGTAGAGAAAATAGTATTGGACCGAAAAAGGTGGTAGTGCATGAGGAAGAATTACGTGGTTAGGCCACAGTAGATGGACGCCCCCACCTAACAGGAAGTAATTTGAATTTCAAACAGTGTGATGAATAAGATAAGACAGATAATGAGATGAAGTGTAAAAAGAGATACATACGTTTGGGTAATTCATGAATTAGGAGTTGTAGGTCACCTCCAAATAAAACCCATACATTAGTCAAAACCCTATATTAATATCCAGCAAAATCAAACCTTCCACATCCATTTCCATATATACTGCATAACCTTCAACCTTCCTTCTCCAACTCATCAACCACTTCAACACCATCACTCCCTCTGAAGCTCCCCCAGAAGCAATGTCATCTCGCATTGTTGCGGACAATTCATTAGCGATCAATAATGTCACCACTCCCTACTTCGACTTAATGGAAATGGACGACCTCACGCGCCGCCCCGCCTCCGCTGAGATGCCCACCCTTGGCCAGCTCCTCAAGCACGTCGGGGACGCCAGGAAGGAAGCCTCCGGCGACGGAAGCGAGACGCCGGTGCATCACGCGCTAGATATAGTTGACGCCGCCGGAGTTGGGCCTCGCTCGCTGCCATTCGTCCTCTCCTTCAGCAACCTCACATACAGCGTCAAGGCGCGCCGCAAAATGAGCCTCTCCTCTGTCTTTCCATGCCGTGGAAGCCGCCTCGGCGCGTCCGCGGTATCCGAGGCTCCTGCCGTCGGCGAGAGCATGTTCAGGCGGACCAAGACGCTCCTTAACGATATCTCCGGCGAGGCGCGCGACGGCGAGATCATGGCGGTACTCGGCGCCAGCGGTTCTGGAAAGTCAACACTGATCGACGCGCTGGCGAACCGAATCGCCAAGGGAAGTCTAAAAGGCACGGTGGCGCTGAACGGCGAAACGCTGGAATCGCGTCTACTGAAGGTGATCTCTGCGTACGTGATGCAAGACGACCTGCTCTTCCCGATGCTCACCGTGGAAGAGACTTTGATGTTCGCAGCGGAATTCAGACTTCCTCGCACGCTCTCCAAGTCGAAGAAAAACGCCCGCGTCCAGGCTCTCATCGAGCAGCTAGGACTTCGGAACGCCGCGAAAACAGTTATCGGCGACGAAGGTCACCGCGGAGTATCAGGCGGAGAGCGTCGAAGAGTTTCCATCGGCATCGACATTATCCACGACCCTATCCTTCTGTTCCTGGACGAGCCAACCTCGGGACTTGACTCCACCAGCGCGTTCTTGGTGGTGAAGGTTTTGCAGAGAATCGCACAGAGCGGAAGCATCGTGATCATGTCCATTCACCAACCGAGTTACCGAATCCTAGGGCTTCTAGACCGCATGATCTTCTTATCACGGGGCCAAACCGTTTACAGCGGTTCACCGTCGCAGTTACCGGTTTTCTTCTCCGAGTTCGGTCATCCGATTCCGGAAACCGACAACAGAACGGAATTCGCGTTGGACCTGATTCGCGAACTGGAAGGCTCCCCCGGCGGAACGAAGAGCTTGGTCGAGTTCAACAAATCGTGGCAGAGCATGACGAAGCACCATCAAACGACAACAGAGGCGGAACGGAACGGGTTGTCGTTGAAGGAAGCAATAAGCGCGAGCATTTCGCGAGGGAAACTGGTTTCTGGAGCCACGAACACGAACCCGAACCCGTCGTCGATGGTGCCAACTTTTGCGAATCCGTTTTGGATTGAGATGGCGACGCTGTCGAAGCGGTCGTTCTTGAACTCGAGAAGAATGCCGGAGTTGTTTGGGATAAGATTGGGTGCGGTGATGGTGACGGGGTTCATTCTTGCGACCATGTTTTGGCAACTGGATAACTCTCCAAAAGGAGTGCAAGAGAGGCTGGGATTCTTCGCCTTTGCCATGTCAACAACTTTCTACACCACTGCCGACGCGCTTCCCGTCTTCCTCCAAGAACGCTACATTTTCATGAGGGAAACTGCTTACAACGCTTACAGAAGAATCTCCTATTTGGTCTCGCATGCGCTGGTTGCGTTGCCGGCACTAGCGTTTCTCTCGTTGGCTTTCGCGGCAACCACGTTCTGGGCCGTGGGCCTGGACGGTGGAGTTTCGGGCTTTTTGTTTTATTTCCTGATTATATTTGCGTCGTTTTGGGCTGGGAATTCGTTCGTGACGTTCCTTTCCGGTGTGGTGCCTCACGTGATGCTGGGTTACACCATCGTGGTTGCCATTCTCGCGTATTTCTTGCTGTTCAGTGGATTCTTCATCAACAGGGATAGGATTCCCAGTTACTGGATTTGGTTCCACTACCTGTCACTGGTGAAGTACCCTTATGAAGCTGTTTTGCAGAACGAGTTCGATGACCCAGTGAAGTGCTTCGTGAGGGGGGTACAGATTTTCGATAACACGCCTCTTGGGTCGGTGCCCCAGGCTCTGAAGGTTAAGCTTTTGGACGCCATGAGCAACACTCTCGGAATGAACATCACCACCTCCACCTGTTTGACCACCGGTTCCGACATTTTGCGGCAGAACGGGGTCACCGATTTGACCAAGTGGAACTGCTTGTGGGTCACCGTCGCCTGGGGATTCTTCTTTAGATTCTTGTTCTACTTCTCCCTCTTGCTGGGTAGCAAGAACAAGAGGAACTGATCATCATCATCATCCCTGAGTTTCAGTTTCTGCATTTTTTTGTTTTTTTGTAATTTCTCTATTCTATTTCTTCTGTTCTTGGCAATCGACAATCTGATAAAAACTTGTAATCTCCACTTTCATAAATTACTTAATTATTTTCATAAACTAGTGCAGTGTTTATCTGTTTCGATTAAATTTTTAATCATTTAATGTGTTACCGTATGTGTTTCGATTATTGAATGCATTTAGTCCTACTCTAGATATAATCAAAGAGTTAGAAATATAGAAAAATATATTTTAAATAGAATATGAAATAGAGTGGTGATACTCTCACACCAGGGAAAAAATATTTATATTACAACTCAAAATAATAATATTTAAATCATATTTATGTTATTTTTAATTTAAAATTTTAATATATTTATTATGTTATTAGAAAGAATTGTAAAATATATGTTTTTTTAGACTGAGTGTCAAAGCAGTATTTCTCTATGAAATTTTCCTTACTAATATACACTAAAGTATTTTAATTTAAGTAACACACGGTAAAGGTTTGTGTAAAAAAAATATAAGTGTAACACATAAAACATATAATTGGTTGTTAAATTAACAAAATATTTAAATATATGTTTAACTTATCAATGAAATTAAAATTTATCATTATTTAAAACTTTGATATATTTAAATTTATAAACTTTTAAAATAAATTAATACAATCATTTTAATTTATGTTTAATTTTTTTATATATTAAATGTGTTTTTTTGCTTAATATTAAATAAAAAACGTAATAATTTAAATAATAACATGAAACATGTTTAACATATAAAAAATTAGATTAAAAAATATTAATTTATTTTTAAAATTTGAAAACTAAAATTTATTAAAATTTTAAATAAAAACTAATTTTATTTTGGTATCAAATTTCAAATACTAAAAATATATTTAATCATTAATAAAATCGGTTGTTTCGTAAACTTAATTGATAAATTCATATCTATACATATATACAATGATGAAAAGATATGTTTATGCATGTATATAGGTAATTTTATTTCATAAATAGAAAAATTGCTTTAGGTAATTATAACTTTAATTCCCCATTAATATTTTACAGATGAGTTATTTTCTTATAAACAAATATAAAGAGCGTAATAACTAATAAATAGAGTAGTCGGTGTTTTATGATCGAAAAATAACTAATTCTTATCTAAAACTACAAAGAAATAAAACTAGTTTAAGATGATACTGAAATTCAATTATATAAAATTACAGCAAATTGAGAAAAGTAATCGACTATTTATTGCCATAATCAAACATACTAACATATTTTATATTTTTAATTCCACCTTTTGTGAACAATACTTTTTATAAAATTTATTAAAAAGAAAAAGATCAATTGTCTGACTAACTCGGGAGAAAAATTCTAAAAATATACTTGTAATTATGCAGAATATATTTTAATTACATAATACAATAGTTAACCACAATACTTAACAAATCTACCAGTACCAAAAGTCTAGTCTAAGAAAAATAACTTATCAAATGACGTCATTATTAAATTTAGCTATTTGTAATTTTATTCATAGAAGAATTCGGTGATTTTGATATACATATATAACCAAAAACAAATGTGCAGCAATTATCTAACAAAATATACATGTTTCTTCATCTCTTTCGGCCCGACTTTATGGTTTTATTAGATGGAATTAACCAATAGAAATCAAAAGCATGTTATAATATTTTTTATATAAAATATGAATATTTGAATTCTCGTACAAAAAATGAGAGAGAAATTGAGGGAGCTTATATAACTATTTTGAGAGGTAAATTACATTGCATTGCACCTATAGTCCTGGCCTTTCTCCAGGAAAGAATAGTAAGCATCGAAACAATTAATCAATCAAATATTTATAAGGCTGTATGTTACGTATTCGTTGGAACGTTAGGCGGCTTCATATTTGTCTCTTCCCATAGTGTATATTCCACTTACTAATCCCAGGTTTGACACTAAGTTACACAGGACCATCCATCACACAGCCTTTGTTCTAGCCACGTCATATCACATATCATTCTGTGCCTCAAAAACAATAAACTTGGCTATAAAGGTGCTCGTGCTAAAAAGTCATTCACAGCAAGATTCGCATCTCCGTGGGCAACAGCATCCTCTGGCTCCGGCATACACAGAGTAGATGCTGAAACCTGCAAATTTAAAATGTCCCATCAGATCACCCCCCATAAATCAGGTTAAGAAAACAAATTTAGAAGTTGATTAGTCACTGAATTTCTAGACTTATACTGCTGAACCAGTTCATGCAGTAAGTTCAAAGCAACTCTCAAAATGTGGCAGAAGGCAATGCAATGATGTTTCAAGGTAACACTATCATAATGCTCAAGATGAATGATGTTTCAACAAATCAAAATATGTCCGGGAACCATAAAATCTTGAGTAGTGTATCACCCACAGGACAGTGTGAATGCGAAGGATAGAGAGATCGAACATACTTTGGTATCAAGTAGAGTATCTCCGTTATTATCAGTAATTATGCTAGCACCGTGTGCTTTCAACCATTCTGAACACTCTTCCAAAGCATCTGTATCTCTTTCATCACTTGCTCCACTTATGGCAGCGCCGGTCGAAAACCCAAGAACCTGAGAAATGTACGAGACAGGTAGAGTTGGACGATAAGACCGGCACATGCAGGTCACAGCCTTATAACGCATCTTTTCAACATATAGATCTGTGGAAATAAAATAAAAATAAAAATTCACTTCATTTTATCCCCTTAACACGGTGAAAACAAGTTAATTTCAAACACTCACCCATAAGGCAGGTGTTCAGGTTAGGAGCTGCTTTGTACAGTCTAAAGAATGCAATATAATTTCCTGAAGTTACAGCGGCACGAACGGCAAGGGCATGTTTTACAGCTTCATCCTTCTTTGCTTCGAGAGACAACCTGGTGTTGAGAACATTAGACGTTCAAATTTGAGACGTTATATGAATCATGGCAGAATAATTGAGACTGGCTATAATAATACTATTATTACAATAATTCGTGGAAAATATTTTGATGCAATCCTCTATTGTTCATCAGCATCTGAGAATCAGTGATTTCAACCCAAGGTCCCAAATAGGGATGGGGTCAAAATTGACTTCGGGGGCAACTACGAGACAAACTTCTAATATATTTTAAGTATAGATGTGTAGGTCATAAATTATCTTTATAATTTAAATCATAGTAAAAATTAATTCATAATATAAATATTGACCCAGTACATTCATTCCTAGACTCAATCTTTTTATTTTCTCTCAATTAAACATTTTAATATCCTCTATATTGGATGTATATTTTACATGCTGTAAATTATCTTTATAATTTAAATTATAGTAAAAAATTAATTCAGAATATAAATATTGACCCAGTAAATTCATTCCTAGACTCAATCGTTTTATTTTCTCTCAATTAAACATTTTTAATATCCTCAATTTTGTATGTACATTTTACATAATATCTTTATAATTAACCAAAAACATTCTCCCTCAACCATTTGAACTACCACCTTCTCACACACATTTCTATTTGTTAATTGTCTATCACTTTTTTAATTTACTTCCTTTTGTCTTCATCTCCGGATTAAATTATTTTTCAAAATAAATTATCAATAATAAAAAACCATCTTATTTCACAATTTAAATTGCTTATTGTAAATTCAAAAAGTATAAATTATATATTTATATGTATTAACTTATTACGAACTCTAATTATATTACAACTTTTATATTAAAATTGATTTGTTACTTAAATTTTACTTACATAAAATAACTATTCATACACCCCCAACTAAACTTTTAGATTTATCAAGAAGGCTTGGAAGAGCAGGGCAAACCTGGCCATCGATGATACGAGATCTCTGTTGTTATTTGAATGCATAATAACACAAAGCAAGTTGTAAGCCGCAAATTCCATATCGGAGCCCTCAATGCCTTCAGCATAAAGAGTTGTTAACTGAGATTGGCACTGCATTCACACAAATAGCATCGTTATCTAAAGTTTATTTAAAAGTTGAATAACATTGGCAACTTCTACAATAAATCATTCATATTTCAAAAGAATGGTACCCAAATTTCATCCTTGATTTAAAATTACAATTAACTAATTCATAGCATTGATTGCCTTTATGCCTTGTTTGGTAGAGAGACTAGAGAAATAGGATAGATAGTAATTAAAACGATGAGTGGAAATGGGTGAGAAATAAAGTAAAAATTAGAAAGGTTACTAAGGTGAAGAAAAATAAAGAGAAGAGAAGAGATCGAGAATGAAAATAGGCGATAAATAGAGTGAAAAAAAAATTGATAAATTAAATTTTCTCCTCCCTATTTCCACTCTAACCACTCCAACCAAAAAAATCATGTGTGAAAATTTTAATCCTTGATCTCAGAAGGAAAACAGATGCACAATTAACAAGAAAACTAAATAAAGCATTTTTCCTCACAAGATAATATACAGAACTAACCTGATTATATTCAGGCAAGTCCCCAAATTCTAGTGCCAATCGGGCATGTGTTTCATACACCTGAAGCATTGGTTCAAGGGTTACTATCAAGGGCAGAAAAGTTGGAAAATATATCATAGTGTATACAGAAGATGCAAATTACCATCACAGAAGCCTTTTTCTATAGGTTATATCAGATGACGTCATTATGTTATATCAGAAACGAATTATGATATGCAGAACACGTTAAAATAAGAAAAATATAAGTGGGGGACGATATGTTCTCACTATAGATCTCTTTACTTCAATAAAGCTATGGAGATTTAAAATTTAATGAGGTTCCTGAACAATTTATCAGTAGCATAGCCAGAGAGATGCAGGGGAAGTGGGAACCATTAAATTCTAAAGAAAAAAAAGAATAAGCAACACTAGAATGCTATCTTTCAGAAAAAATACCTTGACTGTTAATTGATTGCGTATTCGTTGAACAGTTAGGTCTTGGCGAATGGACTTTAACTGATCGCATTTATAAAGGTAATTCTTCTGAGAATTCTTAACCATCAATAGTGCTTTCTCAAGAACCTCTTCAGGTCGTACCTTTAAGTTCATAGCATTTTAATAAGGTTCATAGTTAGGGAGTGAAGGAAATAGATAGACAGACAAAAGTAACAGCAATTTAAATTATTGAGGGGAGACATT